CGCCCATGGCTCAGCCGCTGCCGCTGCTCCTCTGCCTGGCCGCGCTGGGCGCCGGCTGCCGGGCAGGGAACCCCCCCGCCGGCACGGCCGGGCCCTCCGCAGAGCCGCTGCAGGACGAGGCGGACAACCAGGAGAACATCCTCTCCCAGGTACCCGCCGGGATGCGGGGCACGGGCGGGATGCGGGGCACCTGGGGGGTGCTGGGTACCGCGGCGTGGGGGTGGGCAGTGCCGGGCGTGGGTGGTGGGGGGGATGCCCTCTGCACCCTGGGTGGTGCTGGGCGATGCTGGGTGTGCTCTGGGCGATGCTGGGTGATGCTTGTGTGTACCCTGGGTGGTGCTGGATGATGCTGGGTATGCTCTGGGCGATGCTGGGTGATGCTTGTGTGTACCCTGGGTGATGCTGGGTGTGCTCTGGGTGATGCTGGGCAATGCTGTGCACACTGTGGGTGATGCTGGGTGATGCTGTGCATGCTCTGGGTGATGCTGTGTGTACCCTAGGCGATGCTGTGCACGCTCTGGGTGATGTTGGGTGATGCTGTGCACACCCTGGGTGATGCTGGGTGATCCTGTGTATGCTCTGGGTGATGCTGTGCATGCTCTGGGTGATGCTGTGTGTACCCTAGGCGATGCTGTGCACGCTCTGGGTGATGTTGGGTGATGCTGTGCACACCCTGGGTGATGCTGGGTGATCCTGTGTATGCTCTGGGTGATGCTGTGCATGCTCTGGGTGATGCTGTGTGTACCCTAGGCGATGCTGTGCACGCTCTGGGTGATGTTGGGTGATGCTGTGCACACCCTGGGTGATGCTGGGTGATCCTGTGTATGCTCTGGGTGATGCTGTGCATGCTCTGGGTGATGCTGTGTGTACCCTAGGCGATGCTGTGCACGCTCTGGGTGATGTTGGGTGATGCTGTGCACACCCTGGGTGATGCTGGGTGATCCTGTGTATGCTCTGGGTGATGCTGTGCATGCTCTGGGTGATGCTGTGTGTACCCTAGGCGATGCTGTGCACGCTCTGGGTGATGTTGGGTGATGCTGTGCACACCCTGGGTGATGCTGGGTGATCCTGTGTATGCTCTGGGTGATGCTGTGCATGCTCTGGGTGATGCTGTGTGTACCCTAGGCGATGCTGTGCACGCTCTGGGTGATGTTGGGTGATGCTGTGCACACCCTGGGTGATGCTGGGTGATCCTGTGTATGCTCTGGGTGATGCTGTGCATGCTCTGGGTGATGCTGGGTGACGCTGTGTGTACCCTGGGTGATGCTGTGTATGCTCTGGGTGATGCTGTGCACTCTCTGGGTGATGCTGGGTGCACAGGGTCGGTGGTACCAGGTGATGCTGTGCTCTTGCCCAGCGCTCACCGGCGGTGCTGGGGGAGCACAGCTGCAGGGACTTTTATCTCCCGGGGTTCAGTGAGCTCACTGAAGTGCAGCGGGGAGCAGTTCACAGCCTCCATCCTATGATTTCCCCGGGGCAGGCTCAAAAAACGGGGAGCTCCTTGGGAAGGGAATTGGTGGAGCCTCTTTGTGCGCGGTGGGGAGGGATCCAGGCTCTTTCCCTGCCAGTGGGATGTGGTGGAGGTTTCTGTTAGATTTGGCCGATCAGACTGTGTGCTATTATCTGCCCTCGGAAATGGCTAACGTGGAGACTATTGGAAACATACCGTCAAAGTTATTTTTGTGCTTGGGCTTTCAGAAGCGCTGTCTGCAAATCTCCGTAAAGGAAATTCCTGGCATTGTATGGGGCTAATCAGAAATACTGCTTCACCACCAGGTTACGCTGCTTATAGGGCAGCTTTCGGTTGCCCTTCTAGGGCACCCTTACTTTGCCCATGTAAAGAAACCTTGCTTGGTGTAGCAGGTGACTTATTTGTCCTACTGGACATGGATCACTAAAAGACAGCAGGAATTTAAAATGCTTATATTTAACATTCAAAGCAGCTAGGTCCATTTTACTCAAAGTGAAACAAAAAAAAATACCCTGTTGGAAGAAGCTGGTTTTTATTCCCCTTGTAGGTAGGGATCAGAAAGCTCTGTGCTCTCTAGAAAGCTTCTTGGTCAGCAGATTTTGGGAGAGCCAGCCAGTTTCCTCGAGGTTCAGGGTGTCCAAAGTGTCCTTGCTTGGACCTCAAGGTCCAAGGTGTCCTTGTCCCTCGATGGGCAAGCAGAGGACGAGAAGTTTGCTGACTGCTGGTGACCTGTGCTCAGCTGTTAGGTGACTACGACAAGGTGAAGGCGGTGTCCGAAGGCTCCGACTGTCGGTGCAAATGCCTGGTCAGACCCCTGGGCCGCGGCGCCTGCCAGAGGATTAATGAAGGCGCTTTCAAAGCAGAGGATTTTTACACGGTGGAAACCATCACGTCAGGACCCAGCTGCAAGTGTGCGTGTGTGGCCCCCCCCTCGGCGCTCAACCCTTGTGAGGGGGACTTCAGGCTGAAGAAGCTGCGGGAGGCGGAGAGCAGCGACCTGAAGGTAGGAGAGCAGCTTGAATTCAGGGGTCTTTCAGGAGGGGAGGGATCTGCTGAAGCCTTTTCTTTCAGAGCTTTTTCTGAAAACGTTTTTCCTAAGATTTTTCTCTAAAACATCTGCTAGTTACTTTTATATCTGCATGTTGGATATAAAAATCACGCTCAGCATAAGGGATTGCTCCAAGCAGCTGCAGCCGATGATTCACTCAGCAATTTATCCCTTGCTGCCTGGGGTCCACCGTGGCTGCCTGCACTGGAAGCCCAGGAGGGACTGGGCTGCTCCCTGCCCTTTGTCCAGCCCTAAGTGTCCCCAGGGAGCTCTGCTCCGCTCAGCAGCTGCTGGATCTCCTTCCCATGGCAGAGAGGGGCTCCCAAGGATCCACGCAAAAAGCTTATTTCAGCTTCCACGGGCCAAAAGCTGCTGATGCGTCAGCGCGAGGGTGTGTTACACAGCTGGCTGATGGCACGATGGCTTTTGTTGTTTTAAGTGCTGAACTTCTATGCTATTTAGTATTTTATCCCTTTTCCAAATGTGACAGTGTTTGTTCTAAATACTTATGATTTTTCTTGCATGCTTACTTTGGCTGGTCTGGCAGCTGGCATTTCTGGATTGCTATCTGTGTAGGGCAGCAGAAATCCTCCCCAAAGGCTTGGTCCAGCCCTAGGGAGTCCCCAGAGCAGAAGGTTGAGGGCTGGTGGCATTTGTGTGGGTGGTGATGGGACATACCCTGTGGCAGTGCTGCTAGTCCCAGCTCGGGTGGGAAGGCAGGCAGCATGCGAGGTGCTGTGGGGCAGCCTGCTACCAGGGCCACCATTATGGGGTTGTTCTAATTAATTTGGAGCTTGAGGATGTGTTTCATCTTGTCCGACTGCAGGCAGTTAGCAGCTTCTTGTCCAAGCTCCCCTGCAGCTAGGGAAGGCAAACAGGCACAGGCAGATAATCCATCATTCCAAGGAAGGAGGAGTCCCAGTCTGGAGTTGTTTGGTGGTCCCTCACTTGCAGGAGAAGCCAGGATGTTCCTCTTGGCCTTAGATTGAGGAGCCATCAGCTCTCCGTGGTCAGGGGAGGAGTCACCCTGCAGGGTGACAGAGCCACCCCTGATGTCCCTCACCTGGAGGCAGGCAGAGCTCCTCCACCAGCAGCTCCCACCTCTCTCCCCATCCTCTCCAGAGCCATCAGCCTCCAGGAGGAGCAGAGCAGCATGGCTAGCTGCGCCCTTGGCTCCGGCTGTCTCTTCCCACCGGGGAGCTGCTCACAGCCAGCTGTGGTGTGAAAGCTTGTCCTCTAGGAACTGGCCCAGGCTCCCCAGCTCATTTCGCAAGGATCTGCAGCCAAACGATTTCACAACATTTATCCAAATATACACACGTGGGGTTTTTCTTTGCTGCAAAAGTCAAACCCCAGGAGCTGTGAAAACAGCCTTGCTTTCTCGCTGACCACAGAGTCCCTCCTGGGGTCAGGTACGCTGGGAACAACAAGGAGGAGCTGGAAGCCAAGAGAGGACACTGCTCTGGTTCTTATGTGACTGAGGAGCAGCTCCCACTCTCTTCAGTGGGGAGGGCAGGAGGGACGGGGCAGACCACCTCCTTGCTCCTAACAGATCCAAGGTTTTTACTTTCCTTGTTGGTCTGATGAACATCATTCCCGCATGGTCCAGCAGCAGGACGTGTGTAGGTGTGCTCTGTGTCCCTTGTGTGTTTTACCAGGCTTTCTTATGCTCTGACTCAAAACGCCTGGGTACTCTGTTTGTGAGAGAGCTGTGGAAAGGTCCCCACAATGAGAGCTCTCCCTTATCGACGGATGGGTTGGAGGATGCATCCCCACGGGAATGGTGAGGAAGAGATGAGAGAAGCCTGGGGAGGAGGGGTACCCCTGGGGCACCCCAACAGGGTGCCGAATGGCTGTGCTGGTGGGCACCCCAGCTGAAGGTTTCGGTCCCATCTGTGCCTTTAATAAGGTCCCATGGGAATGCATGGACCATCAGAGGGTTAGAGCCAAAGTCTGCAGGGGGTGAAGGGAAGGAACCAGTGAGTTGGTGAGTGCATCAGCATGGTGCTTTGGGGAGGGTCAGCTCGGTGCTGGCAGAGATAGCTGGCTCTAAGATCTATTTTTGTGAAATTGCAGCTTGCTGCTCCTCTGCTTGTAGGCGCGGTGTGCCTTTTGGGGGTCTCGGATGCAGAGTCATTGCAAGGAGTCTGCGTTCAGGGAGATTTGGAAGGTGCTTAATAAAGTCTGTAACCTTTGTGCATCGATGGAAATTATCCAGCCTGGAGGGAAAGCACATGTCTCCAGTGGCTGTCTGGCAGGTTGCGTGCATTGTATTGGTCGTCTCCGTCCAGTTCTTGGTGGAAAGTGGATGCATAGCCATAAAATAGTCCTTGTCTCTTAATGCTGCCATTTTATCTGGCCCAAAAAATCTTTCCTTTGCTGTCAGCTCCACGGGGAGACTGCAGAGGCCGGGATGGAAACTCAGAGTGCTGCCAGCAGCGCTGCCTGTACTTCTCCCATGTTTATGGAGCTCTGTTGACTAGTTTGTAGCTGCTGGGAGAAAATGTCATCGCTTTATAGTAATTCCCATGCACAGAAAATACTTCTCAGCCGTCAGGGCTGTAAGGTCTGCAGTACTGTGCTGGATGTGTGGGGACACATGGGACTGGAGGGAGCAGAAGCAGGGGATGGCCTGGGAGCTCTGGCCACCAGCCCATGCCTGGTGGAGTGACCTCCCGGGACCTTATGAAAGGCAGAGGGAGGGTACTGCTGGTGCTGAGCAGGATACGGGGACACAACCCTTCCTGCTGCAGGAAGGAGGTGAATTAAATGCGGGGCATCTCTGAAATGGGTGATTGAAGGAGAAAGCAGCATCCCTCTGACAAGGTTGTTCACCAGGGAAGCAAACTCTTACCAGGCTGGCACTGGATTTCAATTGCTTCACTCACGCATTTGTGAACGTTGTAAAATTTTATAACAAGTTTCTTCTTGTTCCAGGAAAAAAAGCATGGGATGGCACAAACTCAGAGTCTGATGTAAAACTCCCTTTTATGCTTATTGCCTCTTTTGTTGCCAGTCACATCACTGATGGTGTAGCTAAGCCCTTGGGCTTGTGAGAGAGCCTGCCTAGAGCTGGCAGGGACAGCAGCGTTCCTCCTTGCTCTGCTTACTAATCCCCAGCACCCACAACATGCTCCTGAGCCCCTGAAGCTCTGCGTGCTGTGCTCCTGACTGCAGCAGCAATGTGGCAGGGCAGGGTACTCTGACTGACAGTGTGCTCCCTTTGCCTTGCAGCTGTCCTCCATCGTCGAGATGCTGGAAAGTGCCTTTTATGGCTTGGACCTCCTGAAGCTGCACTCAGTCACAACCAAGCTGGTGGGTCGGGTGGAAAAGCTTGAGAAGGTAAGATGAGCCCAGTTCTCCTTTGAGGTTGTTGCCTTTGGTGGGACTTGCCTCAAACCAAGTACTTAGTTTCTTTGGTGTGTTCAGAGCCTTGTTCCTTTTGGAAGAAATGTTAATTAACTATTTGGCTGAAACTTAACAAGACCAAATTAGACTGTCCAAACTAGACCAGACTAGGTCCAAGCTACACCTCCACTGTTCCTCACAGGTGGTGCCCAGGGCATCACCACCCCGTCAGCCTCCCATCACCCTTTCCAGTTCCCCCATCCCTTGTGGCCCAAACTGCGTGTGAGATCCCAGCTGTGGCCTCACCAGAACAAGCGCCTCCTTGGGGTCCAAAGGACCTTTTTATTAAGTTTTTCTTTCTCTCAATTTTATGCCTGTACTGGTGTGATAGTTGCTCTCAACCAGGTGCTTTTGTGCTGTTTGATGTGGGGGTGAGCAGTTCAGGGCCGATGCCGGGACACGCTCGCTGGGACAGCTGGTAGCCAAGGAGGTCAAATTCCTTAAGGACCAAGTTACATCTTGGCCTGCATTTAAGAAGAGCTGAACCATCAGTGCTGCTAAAAAGATAGATAAAGTACCTTCCATTTTTTTTAGAGCAGACTTCCAGTGAAAGAATTTTCACTTCCATACAGTTTAATATTTCTTTGGCTAGTACAACACAGGGTTTGCCGTTAGTTGAGCTGTGCTCAGCTATGTAGCAACAGGTTGCCAGATTAAATACTGGAGTTTTCTCCCGTGGTCCGTATCTGGGACAGTAATTCCACATTCTTGTTGGAGTGGAGCAGTCCCGTTTGTCTGCAGCCAGAAGCCGAGAGGCGATGATTTATAAAGCCAAAATTCCACTTGCAAAGTGTTTCGGGAAGGCACGGCGTGCTCCATCCCGGGGTCAGGAAGGAGACAGCTGAGAGGAGTGAGTTTGCCTGGGGGGCTCTGGGTTTCCAAGCATGGTGATTGACTCAGAAGAGGGAAGAGGTGTTTTGAGGTCTAAAAATAACAAAGAACCAATGTTTTTGTTCACAATCCCACCCTCTTCCTGTGGTTCAGCGTATTCTCCAGTCGTTACGTGGGTTTGCTGCTGAGTCTTTGCTAATTAGGGGAGAGGAGCAAGGGAAGTGGGACCTGTGCCACCAGTCCCGTGCCGTGCATCCCTGTCGGGGACCTTTGTCACTGTGGGACTGGTAGCCATGGGTTTTCTGGTGGGGGTGAGCCCTGCCCCACGAGAATGGTGAGTTGGGCTTGCCGAGAGCAGGGGATGCTACAGTGGACAGAAAGGGCCCCATCAGGACATATGGCTGGTCTGTTGCTGTTTAATATCCACAGTTAGCTGGATTGGGGATGATGGAGGGGACAACCCTTTTTTCGGTATCATTTATGGATCTGTGGTCCCTGAATTTGTCTCACCTTGAAACTACTTTCCCGAAAATTTTGCTGTTAGACATTGTCACCTTTAAACGGATCAGGCCATCAGAGCGACGCAGCCCATCAGGTCAGTGAGTTGGGGAGTGCAGGTTCCTCAAAAACCTCGCTGATGGTCGAGTTGGAGGCTAAGGTAAGTATCAGGGGTTCGGGTATTGGCAGATGACCCAAAGGATTACTTCATGTGTGCTCAGCTTCATACCAAAGTGAGCCCTGTTGCTGCACAGGGGGTTCAGCATGAGTGGTCCTGGTGTCACTCATCTGTGTGGGCACATTGGGGTGACCTTTCAGTGTGGCTGCTCTGCTCACAGCCTGTCACAGCAAGGCAGACGGGCAGAATTAGTCTGGTCTGGCTGAAGTAATTTGGAGCAGTGAAGGTGTAGGAGTGGGGAATTCACAGATTTGGGTCTTTTATTTCCCAGAAGTAGGGCTGTGGGATCACGTAATGAGCAGCTGGAGCTGTCTGCAGGCACTCGGATGGAGGAGGACAGGGCAGAGCTGGTGCAGGCAGCAGGTGTGAAAGGCTTCCTGCTGCTGGCTTAGCAGGAATATTCCTGTTGAGAGGAGGAGGAGGAGGATCACACCCTGCATTGGCTGTGGGATCTGATACAACGGACAGCTGAGATACTGAACAAGAGCCTGGCATCGCTTCAAAGCATCAGCCTCCCAGGCGGGTGTGTTTTTGGCAGCTGCTCCCCAGCAAAGCAGCTGAGCAGCCTCCAACAGCATCCCAGGCCAGGCTTTGGTGGTGCCCCCCCACTCAAGGGGAGGAAGATTTTTATCCCTAAGCAGGTCATAAGCCAAACACTACACAGAATAAGTGATAGAGGCACAAGGCTGTTGGAATCAGCCATCATCCCAAAAGGAGGAGGGTGTTGAAGCTGCTTCTCCTCCTGCCCTGCTCCTAGGAGAACATCATCAGGCCCCCTTTTTCTTTTCTTACTACAGCAAAATGCTTGCTGGAAAGTCCCTGCGTTTAGGACTCAGCCTTAAAATTGCATGATAAAGCTGTGACTCACAACTCCTGGGTGAAGACTGGGAGTTTGGTTACTCATGGAGGGGGTTGGGGGTTAACTGGACTCAGGATGGTATTTTTGCAGAGACGAGAAGGTATTGCGAGTTGTTTCCAGTATAACAGGGCATTTTACACAAATAGTGTTGGTCAAGTGTTGTCAGTAGTTTTGCATTGAACCCCCAGATACGTGGTCCTCAGAGCTAGTGCCTTCTCTAGCGAGACAGCTTCTCTGCTTTGTCTTTGGTTTGCAGCTGTTGCATCAGCTGGCAATTTTGAGGTCACAGATGGAGGTCATGGTGGGTTTTAGTAAAAATTAATGGCAGGACAGATTGAAATTGAAGGATCAAGGGGAACCGCCCCCAGTCTCTGTGCGAAAATACTTTGATTGATGTGCCACCTATTCAAAGCAGTTGCTGTTTAAAGATGTAACAGACCAAGGAGTGATGAGCAGAGACTACAACAACCCCTTGGTGACAAGATGTGCCTATGGTTGGGGGACTGAGAAGGGAAAAGGGGTCTGTCTGCCCTGGGCTGCCCAACCACCTGCCCACCCCAGCCACCTCCCAGTCTGAGACAGCTCTCTGAGGGTCACTGCCTCTCTTCATTAATTCTTCCTCTCCTCTGTGGGAGCAGAGGGTGCTGGGGAGGAGCAGTCCCTGAGTGCAGGCGCTGTGTGGCCAGGCAGCAGGACAGGACCAAGAGAACAGAAACCAGACAAGTGGGATGATGACCTTGAGGACTTGCCTTGGGGGTTAGGCAGGCAGCGTCTGGCCCCAGCAGGATGGGACCCTGCTAGGAAAGTGGGGTTAATTAATGAGAGATTAACTTGGCTGCCATAGGCAAAGGGCAAGGCTGGGACTTAGGGTGTTTTAACTTCTTCCTTTTAAGAGTTGGCCAGTGTGGCTGAAGATGGGTGTTGAAGAACCTCAAGGCCACTCTCCTGCTCCATGGCATCCCATGGCAAAGAGTGGATCTGGGATGTGTGCACCAGGGATGGGGTTTCTGGATTCCACTGGGGTCAGGGGCACCTTCTTGGCAGCTGAAGTGCAGAGCTCCACAGAGAAGCCTAGCTGTGAGCCCGGGATGGGAGCACAGAGCTCGCCGGCTCCTGGGCTGTCGTTTGGGGACTGCGGACCATCCCTTGTCTTTACATGGGGTAAAGTCTCCTCTCTTGCTTTTCTAGGGCATGTCCAGGAACTTCACGCAGGAAGGCCACCAGGCAGGAGCCACTGTGGAGGAGGGTCCGCAGGATGCCCACCGCAGAGACAGGGAGAACTGCTCCAGCCTCATCACCAACAGCCTTGCCGACATCGAGGGCTCGCTGCAGCGGGACGCCGAGGCTGCCTACACGCACGCAGAGGTATGGCCGCCCCACAGGGCTGCACAGAAAGAAGTGGCTGTGCCAGCCAGCCCAGAAGGTGTCTCCTGGATGTGCCCCCCCCCCCCAAACAGGCCACCGGCCCGGGGTTATTTTCTCCTCAGCTGGGCTGACCCCCGTTTCCGTGGCTCCTGCTCCAGGCTGCTTCTCTCGGCACAGCCCAGCTGCCGCTGGGATGTAGGAGGGAAGAGGAGGGAGCTGCTCCCCGGGCCTCCCCCCTTCCCGTGGGGTTGTTGGTTTTCGAGGTCAGCGGTGGCCGTGCTGCTTGGAAAGAGTGATGTCATTGCGGGGCCAGCCGGGAAGCGCTGGGAAACTCGGAGCCTCTGATTAGCAGGGCTCGGGGGCTCGCTGGAGGGGCAGCCTGTCGCCCTCCCCCCCCAAACCCCCGGGGAATTCCCCCTCCCCAGCCAGCCCCTCTGCCTGGTTGGTTCCAGGCTGAGAGTTGGGCATCCCGCTAGCGCCGGTACCCACCCCCAGATCTCTGCCCAGCAAGGGGACATCCTCTGCCTGGGGCAGTGGTTCCTGTGCTGCCCCAGAGAGGGGTGTTTTTGGAAAAGATCTACCCGGGGTGTCCTGATGCCCTTGCTGCTTTGGTGCTGCAGTGTAAGATGGCCTCACACTGCTCTGGTCCATACTGGGTGGCTTCTGGAGCATCCTGCCTTCACCTCTGCAGGGGCAAAGGAGGTGTTTGGGGAGGGGGGAATGGTCACTGCACCATTTCCAGCTCCAAACAGGGGTGCTCAGCTCCTGGGGGTGAGGACAGCTTGCACATTGTCCCCCCCCCCTCCCCAGCAGCTGAGAGTAGGCATTGCAGGTCCCACGTAGGAGTGGGCTCCCCAAGCCCCTGCAGGGAGAATGGTGGGCTCCCCACACAGGGGCTGGGGGTCGGTGGGTGGGAAATGGCACTGACCACCATGTGCCAGTGCACTCCGCTCAGGGGGAGACCCGTGTCCTGTGGCAGAGGGTGTCCAGCAGCCCTCCCAGCCCCTCTCCCTCTGCTCCCTGGGCTGTGACCTGAGCTGGGGCTCCAGTGCCTGCTGGGGAGGAGCCAGCTCCCGGCCAGGCAGGAGAGTGAAGTGTGGGGCTTTTATTACCCCGAGTGACCTCATTTCCCAGTGTTCCCCTTTCCTCGCTGCTAATTGCAGCAGGGCTGCAGAGGAACCCTAAGCCTGTCTTCTCAGCCAAATGGGCACCGCTTCAACCTTCAGGCTGTCTTTCCGATTTCCTTTAACGAGATGAAATCCTTCAGGCATGAGCTGCGGCAGCTGGTGGCTGCCTCTGCACAGGGTTCCTGGTCCCTGCCCTGGGGGAAGCTCCTGGTCCCTGCTCCGGGAGGGGGGGGTTCCCAGTCCCTGCCCTGGTGGGTTCCCAGTCCTTGTCCCAGGGGGTTCCCAGCCCCACTGGGAAGGTGCCTTCAGCCTCTCTGCTCTACCCAACCTTGATGCACGTTGCACGCTCCCTACGGATCAGTTGCCGGCCTCAGTCCCTGGCAAGCGAGGGGGTGTCTGGGGGATGGACATGCAAGTGGTTGCAGTGAGGGGTGTACCCTGCTACCCGGGAGGGGGGGGTTCCCAGTCCCTGCCCTGGTGGGTTCCCAGTCCTTGTCCCAGGGGGTTCCCAGCCCCACTGGGAAGGTGCCTTCAGCCTCTCTGCTCTACCCAACCTTGATGCACGTTGCACGCTCCCTACGGATCAGTGGTTGCAGTGAGGGGTGTACCCTGCTACTGCTGCCCTGGGGTCCCTCTCTCTGCCTGCATGCCCCACATCCCACCCCCCCGTGCCTTTCTGAGCACCAAGTCCCAGGTTTGCAGGGTGGCACCGAGGTCAGACAGAGGCAACGCTGGTCTGATGTTCCCGCTGTCCCCTGGGGGGTTTCCCACAGCAGAAGGGGCTGAGATTGACCCCGAGAAAGGAAGGAGGACAGAGCCTCCTACCCAGTGCTTGGCTGGCCAGCCTGACCTGCCCCATCCCCTAAAATATCCCCCGTTCCAGCCCATCCCATAACAGCCTCCTGCGTCTCCACCAGGGCAAATATGAAGAAAGATTCCTGAAAGATGAAACCATCTCCCAGCAGATCAACTCTGTCGAGTCCCTCCCAGAGCTGCACCTCTCTCCGGAGGATGAGAAGCCCAAGCAGCTCCTGCAGAGGAAGCTGCGCATAAGGAGCCGGCCTCCTTCCAAGCCAACCATTGTCCGAGGGGTCACCTACTACAAAGCCCAGTCCACCGAGTCGGATAACGACATTGAGGAGCAACGTGAGTTGGGTTTGTAGCCGTGTTCAGTGGATAGCTGTCTGTGCCCCACCATCTGTCCCCTGGTCCTGCCTTCTCCCTTGGGAACGTGTGGGCAAAGTGTGTGGGGCCACCATGGAAAGCAGGGCTTGGAGGCAGGAGGGACAATTGGTACCTCACCGCTCTGCAGCCCATGAGCCCTGCACAGAGGAGCTGTGTGGTGGTGTTATTCCATGGAAAATCCCTCAAAGCTAAGGAAAGAGGTCACTGCTGTGGCTTAAAACACCCAGCAGCAGCACCTTTACTGAGAGTAAACGCGAGATTATTACATACATTAGTCCTGCAGATCCACCTGCCTGATGGCATCCCAGGAGGTTTGTGCAGTGGTCGTGGTGGCAGGGAGGCAGCTCAGAGCAGTGGCCAGCTGTCCTGCAGCTCAGCAAGGTGCTCCTCATGGCTCTGGCCACAGTGAGAGCTGGGGGGCAAGCCACCAGGACAAACAAGGAAAGTGCCCTTTCTGTGCAGAGCGGTCTCAGCCGTGAGGTTGGCCAGAACAGGCGTGCGAGGGTTTGTGTGGTCCCTGAGATGAGGAGGAGCAAAGGGCATGGGTGGTCACCTCCTGCTCTGCTCAGACTGAGGTGGTGGGCATGGATGTGCTATGGTCTCACTGACCTCCTTTCTAATGTGGGCACCACCAGCCCCTACCCATCATCCAGCCCTTCTCCGGCTAGAAATTAAGAGGAAAATAATGTGGATTTAGTAAAAGAATGCCTGGATGGAGGAGCTACAGAGGTGGGGCAGGTGGAGAAGGACAGTAGGGTACCTGCTCCCCCTTGCTCTGGGGCTGACACCTGTGCCTGTGTTTGGCAGCGGACGAGCTGTTCAGTGGGGACAACACGGTGGACCTGCTGATTGAGGACCAGCTCTTGAGGCCCAGTGGCCGGGCAGGTGAGGGCGTGAGGAAGCCCTCCCCCGTGGGATGGCCACCCACCCCCGGCAGCGATCCCACCACCCCGCCGGCTGCCGACACTGCCGCAACAGCCACGGTGCCCCTGTCCCCTGCCATGTCCACGGTGCCCACGCCGGACCCCACCACTGCGAGCCAACTGACACCCACCCCGGAGACCTCAACTGCCCCGGCAGGGCTGGCAGAAGAGGGGACCCCGCAGCTACTGGCCTTGGCCAGCACAGTGGCAACCACAGCCACGGAGAGCCTGCCCACAGCCACCAGCCTCGTCCCCAGCCCTGCCGTGGACACCACTGCTGGGACCTTGAGTGACATTGAGACAAGCCCTTCCCTGGAGAGCAGCCCAGAAGCTTGGGGACAGGAGGGCACCCCTGCGACGCCGGTCAGCCCCACCATCCCCGCCACACCAAAGCAGGCCCTGGAGGAGGAGGACATCAGGAACATCATTGGTGAGTGCTTCCAGGTCCTGCAGCAATCCAGCTGTGTGTGTGGGAGCTGGCTTATGCCCACACATGTCCTGCTAAGCACAGCACACCTGGATTTGATCATGGGTGGGAGGTGTCATGGAGATGATGGCTGGGAAAGTGCTTTACCGGGGCACCAGATTTTAATTTTGTTAACTCTGGAACCTGCTGTAGTCCCTTTCCAGTTTGGGGGACCGGGCAGGGCAGGAGGAGATCTCCTTGGAGATGGATCTGGGACAAGTCTCAATCAAGGCAGGGACAAGGTTGGGACCCTGGGGGCCTCTTTGCAGGATCAGCCTGGTGGTGCTGGGCTTTGTGAGGCTGTGCCCAGGCTGAGGCAATTGGGGTACCTTCTGGGTGGGCAGGGAGGTGGAAGGGGGGTGATGCCCACAGCCCCCCAACAGGAGTGGTGAGAGTGTGGCCACCCTGCCTTGGGCCTTGCAAGCCTCTCTCTGCCTGCACAGGGCGCTGCAAGGACACGCTGTCCACCATTTCGGGGCCCACCACCCAGAACACCTATGGGCGCAATGAGGGGGCCTGGATGAAGGACCCCTTGGCCCGGGAGGAGCGGATCTACGTCACCAACTACTACTACGGGAACACGCTGGTGGAGTTCAGGAACCTTGACAACTTCAAGCAAGGTGAGCTTGTGCCGTCCTCGATGCTACATTGGCCACCACTTGGCTGGTCCAAGTAGCATCCCCATTCCCTGGGATGCTGCACCATGGGGGCATGCTCTGCCCGGGGACCCTCCCCTCTTAGGCACCAGTATCCAGTATGAGGTTCAGAGCATGGGGCAGGTCAGGCTGTCCATGGTGGCTCTGGATTTGCTTGTCACCCTGCCAGGCTGCGGCTGGTGGCTGGGGAGGGAGTGCAGGCAGGGCTGGGAGCAGAGGGTGCTGGGGGCTGCTGTGGCGGAGCCACCAACCCCAAAGCAAAGGCAGGGTCTCACCAGCAAGGTGTCTCTGCCCTGCAGGGCGCTGGAGCAACTCCTACAAGCTCCCGTACAGCTGGATTGGGACGGGCCACGTTGTCTACAATGGTTCCTTCTACTACAACCGGGCCTTCACACGCAACATCATCAAATACGACCTGAAGCAGCGGTACGTGGCTGCCTGGGCCATGCTGCATGATGTGGCCTACGAGGAATCCACCCCATGGAGGTGGCGGGGCCACTCGGACGTGGACTTTGCCGTGGATGAGAACGGCCTGTGGGTCATCTACCCGGCCATCAACTATGAGGGCTTCAACCAGGAGGTGATCGTGCTGAGCAAGCTGAACGCGGCTGACCTCAGCACCCAGAAGGAGACGACGTGGCGGACGGGGTTGCGGAAGAACTTCTACGGGAACTGCTTTGTCATCTGTGGGGTCCTGTATGCAGTTGACAGCTACAACAAGAGGAACGCCAACATCTCCTACGCCTTTGACACGCACACCAACACGCAGATCATCCCCCGGCTGCTCTTTGAGAATGAGTACGCCTACACCACCCAGATAGACTATAACCCCAAAGACCGCCTGCTCTATGCCTGGGACAATGGGCACCAAGTCACCTACCATGTCATCTTTGCCTACTGAGACCCCCTGCCACAGTGGGGCACTGCAAGCCAGGGGTCACCAGCACCTTTTTATTATTATTTTTATTGTTATTATTGTTATTTTGTACAAATCAAAGAGTAAATGATGGGTTTTTTGTTTCAAGCTTTTTTTTTTCTGGGTTTTTTTTTTTGTTTTGTTTTTTAATGGTGGATTGTAGATCAATCCCCAAGGCCAGAACCATCCCCTTAGTCGTGGCTTCTGTTTTCCCTTCCTGTGGGGAGGGTCCCTCCACTGGGAGGATAGACCAGCCTCTCCTGCCCGCGGAGGATGAGGTGGCCCAGACGTGGTCTTCTTGATGCGGTTTATAACTAAAGGTGATGAGCAAGAGACCCAGAACCATTGCAAAGCTGGCCTTTCTGCTGCAGGCACCGGGTGCCAGCGGGACACTGAGGTCTCCCTGTCTGGTGGAGGGGGTGTGTGTCCTGTGGGAATGTCCCGTCTCTCGGGACCATCTTCCCAGCCCATGGCCAGCAGCCCTGCGAGATCCTGCTGTACAAGGGGGCTGCGAGCGCAGCTCCGGCAGCCCCTGCTGCTGGCACTTACACCGAGGACTGGCCCCTCCGGCCGGGGCTCTGCCCTTTGCGACCTGCTCTGGGGGGGCCAGGAGTGCCCTGAGCCCCGACTCGCACGTGGAGTGAGCCAGCGGCGGGAGGGGGACACTGTAAATAGGCGTAGATGGCTTTTGTTTTGTTCATTTTGTAACCCGAAATAGTCCCCTCTGGCATTTGCCGGGCGAAGGCTCTGTTCTGCCAGGCGCTGGGCTGCCTGGGCAGGGAGCTGTGGGGCTGGGGGAGCCCTCGGGGCTGGGGGAGCCCTGGCTCCCCATCCCGCTGCCGCTCCATCTCCCGCAGGGTCTCAGCCCTTGTCCCCTCGCCACCATGCTCGCCCTGGTCCCAGCTGTTGGCCATTGGGAGCCCATCACAGAGGCACCGCCCCAACCCTTCTAGCCTGGCAGCATCTTGTATTTACCTGCCATTAATAATAAAAAGATCAAGTACCTTTGCATCTGTTTGGGGCTTTCTTTGGGTCTGGTTCACCCTCTGGGTGCAGGAATATGCACGAGGGTTTTTCTGGGTGGATTTTGGTCGCTTTGGGGAGTGCCAGTTTGCAAACCAAGTGGCAGCAAAGCATGCTGGCCAGAGGGGACCTCTGGGGGGTCTTTGGGCTGCTTGGGCTTGGCACCGTAGCTTGGTGGGGTGGCCGTGTCCAGCCCTGAGAAGAGTGTGGCTGTCACAACCACCCTGAGGTCACCAGGGGCTGTGGTGAGCTGCTCTCCCCATGGGCTCCTCGTCCCCGGGCTGTGGGTGAGCGGGGTGCCCCTCCCCAGGAGCAGGAGGTGGGGAGGGATCTGGGTGCATGTACCTTGGGCAGCTGCAAGGCTGTGCCAAGGAGAGCCACCCCACAGCCCAAGAGCCCATAGAGACTGTGCTGGCCTTCTCTTTTGATGAAGTAAAACAGTATTAATAATAATAATAATAAATAAAAGAACCATTTTATTGCCTTCAGTGCTAGGGACACAGAGAACAGAACTACACAGGAGAAGAGGTGCTCTCCACCACCGGAGCCCACGGGTGCTGGCTGAGGACAGTCCCCGTGCCCCCAGAAGCCACCCTTTCCAAGGTGCCGGGCTGTGCCAAGCTCAGCCCCCACCCCCAGGTCCCTTCCATGCCCCCCCTGCCCGGGGCTGCGGGGGAGCTGCGTGCCTCTGGCTGGGGCACCGCCGGGGTTTTTATTTTTTGAGTATTGTGTGAGCTGGCCCTCGGTCAGGTGGGGCCGGGGCCAGGAAAACAGCACTGGTGCGAGGAGCGCAGCCAAACCCCTCGCCGAGCCCGGCCGCTTCCCAGCAGCCAGCGCCGAGGGGACGGGGGGCCTGCGCTGACTACGTGGCAAAGGGCAAAAAACTTTTCCATAGTGTTGCAAGGCACATACTTCACAGGGGTGTACTGCTCCTCAGCCTCCTCCTCACCTCCCCCGAGCTGTTTGTCTTGCTGCAGGATTTTTATTTCCTAACACGCGCACACACACACAAAAAATAATAATAATAAAAGCACGTCAGTCAGTCAGTCAGCGGGGCAGACAATGGAGGCCAAGCAGCGGGGCTGGCACAAGGAAGCCCATCATCTTCTGTGCTAACTGCTAAGGGGAAAAAAAATAAAAAATACTACTAATGTAACATGCTGAAGTCATTAGGAAAGGGCAATGCTGTGCTGGCGTCTCATCCCAGCGCCGCAGCCCCTCCGCCCCGCTCCGGCCCCGGCCCCGGCCCTGGCTGACAAATTTGGGAAGGGTTAAGAGAGCTCGGCAGCCGGCTCTGTGACGGCCACCGCTTGCAGCAAGAGCCCTGTCTGGCAGCTCAGGGCTTGGGGGCAGATGGCAGGCTGCCCTGAGCTCGATGGGTGGCTGTCAGCGCTGACAAGGCAGAGGAGGGGTGTGTGGGTGTGAGTGTGCACCTCTATGCGTGTGTGTGTGTGTGTGTGTGTTTCAGGAGGAAGGAGCTGTGGCTGTGTCCCACCAAACTGAAGCAGCTCTTCTGCCCCACAAGTGCCAGTGCCACTCTGTAGGCTGTTAGCTGGGAAAAGCATTAAATATCCCACAAACAAAAAAAAAAAACCCAACAAACAAACAAACAAAAAACAGGGGGAAAAGGAAAAATAAACCAACAATGGCAGTACAGTCTTTACAAATGCATGTGCCACATTAAATCACCACCCTTGGGCCGAGCCCCAGCCTTATGCCACACAGCTGTGTGGGCTGGGGTCGTCAGCAGCAGTTTGCAGGTGAGCACACACAGGTGAGGGGCTTCTGCCCCTCATGGAGACCACGCTTGGTGGCTTTGAGGGACGTTCTGCTCGTAGTGCTTTGTCTGTAAGTGTGGGGTCCCACCACCCCACTGCAGGCCACCGCTTCCCGGTGAGGGAGAGCACCTGGGGAAGGACTGTGGGGCGGGTGTGTGGTGTGCATGGGGGTGATGAGGAGGAGCAGGGCTGTCACCAGGCCCAGCACAGCCATTCCAGCAGAGAAGGGACACTTCTGCTCCTGGGGTGCAGGTGGTACGCCCGGCGTGGGGTGCAAGGCTGTGGTTCTCCCTGCACTCACAGCTCAGATCTGGGCACCGCTTCTCCTCCTGCCCCGAATGCCCTGTGGGGAGAGAAGCTTGATCTTGAGCACAAGCACAAGACAGTGCAGCAGTGTCTCTAGGCAGGACCCCAGTGCTCAGCACCCCACCTCAGGAGATGGTCTAATGGGGAAAAAACAAACAAACAAAAAACCAACCAAACCCAAAACCTCAACCCCACAATTTTGGACAGTGCATAAGTAGCAAGGATGGCCCGTGCCCCTCCAGTGCCAACCCCAGACACCAGATGCTGATGCCAACACCTAGACTGCAGCAGCGTGCATCACCCCCACCCCCAGCACCGGGCATGGCACGCTGCGTGGGTCCCCCTGGCCTGTCCCCGGCGAGGGGACAGCTGAGCTGTATAAACCCTGGGCAGGATGTGGCTGTTGGGTAGGGTCAGGCACAGGAACAGGAGAAGCAGGGTCTGCCCTTGCTGTGCCAATGTGCCAGGAGCCCCAGGGGCCCCCAGGGAAGGGGCTCAGTCTCTGGCTGCAGGACCTGCTGCATCCCGGGTGCACGGGCTCCGGCGCAGGAGCTACTGCAGGGACTTGACAATAGCCCTCAGGGCATGGGGGGTCTCCGGGACGGAGGGAGACGCGCTGTAGAAGGTGTTGGTGTGATTTCTGCGCTGCTCTCGGAGGTACGGAGGGACAGAGGAGCTTTTGATGTGGAGGATCCTGGTGTCCATCACTTCGCAATCGATCTGCATCATCACCTCGTAGTCTTGCCCATTGATCACATTTTCTGCAAAAGCAGGAAAAAAAAAAAGAGTTAGCTCTGCAAGCCAGTGACCCAATGGCACCAAAGACAGAGCTTTCGGGACCATTTTTTTTTTTTCTGGAGCAGGAGCTGGAAGGGAGAAGTCCTTCCTCTTTGTAGCTCCACACTTGGAGCTCCATCTCACACAGCACAGCCCCATCCTGCTTGTGACACCTCAGAGGACCCAGGCCACACTTAGCATGTGCAATCACACCTAGAAATTAATGTCTTGTCTTTTCCACTTCTTCATCTGCACATAATTACCTATGGAGTTTGCCTGTATAAAATTTATTACTGAACTGTGTGTCTTGAGCCACTAAAGTGGAAGAGTGAATGAAGAGTGGGCTTATTTAAGAAAGGTGACTGTTTCACTTACTTTTTATTGGTTTAAGAATACCGTATCCCTCTTGACACTGAGGATCTAGAGGAATTTCTTCACCAGATTATTAATAAAAAAAGTCAAAACGCTCTCTCCCAAAAGAATGAACTGCACCTCATTACCGTGCTGACCTGGCTGTTGTCCTTGCCTGACAAGGCCATTACCCTTGAGAGGCCCCCAGACACGGGGAGACCCAGGCCACCACACGGGACCCCAGCCCAAGGGCACGCAGGGCTGCATCACCTCGGCACGGCCCTGGGCCAGGCATGTCTGCTGCTGCAGGAGCTCCTGGGCTTGCAGGCAGAGGGTTTGCACATGGCCAGCATCTGCTGCCTGGATTTAAAGGTGGGAGACTACTCCCTGCATAGACAGTGTGTCCAGGAATGCGAGAGCCGAGATCAGATTTCCAGGCACGACCAATCCTTGCCTTTCAGAGTCAGAAACGCTGACTGCCTCCGGCAGGCTTTTCTTTCTGTGCTGAGGAGGATGGAAGATCACCTAATGGAAAGCGTATGGACTGGAGAAATGAGCTATACATTACTAATTTTTACTGTTTTCCTGGATTAACTCTGACTCTGGATGACAGCTGACAACTGCAGCCGGACCCTCTTGTACCCCACGCCACCTGTAGAAGCCATTAGATCAAGTATGTCTGGTATAGTAATGAGAAGCAGGAGCAAACCCTTGCTAAGGGGGCTGAGAGCCTGCAAGGGAAATCAAAGCTCCCACCTGCAGAAATGAAATGGAAAAAGCTCTGTATGTGCCACCGAGTGACTGAGGCCAGCAGCAGCTGTCCATGTCTCTGTACTGCTGACCCAAACACCACGACAAACCATCATCCCTCCCGGCCACAGTGCTGCTGATAAAGCTTCAGGTGCTATGTCCCCAGTTGGGACCATTTTTGAGGCCATCTCTCGAGGTCACCCCCTCTCTCATCCTTTGGACGTGCTCTTGGTTCTCAGCCAACAGTCCTAGGACCAGTATACACAGAGGGCTGGGCTGGTGGCAGTGCTCAGGACAGGGGCTGCAGGGGGGCACAAGGAGAAGCTCTGTGTGTGTGTTTCTGTGTGTAAAAGCCTGGACTTTGGGCTGGTGAGAGCAAACAGGAACAGATCAGCTCCCTGTGACACCGCTGAAAACACAGCTCCTCAGCTCTCACATCGCAGAGCTGACAGCCCGACAGGACCCCGGCCATGTGACAAAATGTGCTCCAGAGCCACAAGTGGGTGAGGTGGGACGGGATGGTGGCCAGGGCCAGGCAGGGAGGGAGCTGCACTGCGTGGGTGGCAGCGGGGAGCATGGGAACCGGATCAGCCCATCTCGGCCAGCCGGGATCCCACTTCTCCCAGGCTCCCCCGTGACCAAGTGGACCACAATTAAGTAGGCCACAGCTCTGCTACCCTATGCAGGAGGTGCCGTGCCTTCTGAGGCCACCAAAGCTGAGACAGCTGGGAGGACTCATACTCACAATGAGCTTCTCTGGCCAGCAAGAGTGGAGGGGACTCACACACCCAACTCAGACACTCACCAAGTGCCCGATTCCTGCCCTGTGCGTGTGAATTAGCACAGGAGCGACACTTGGGTTAAAAGATAGGTATCTGATTGTTTCTCCTTTTGGGTTGGAGGCCCTACCAATGAAGAACTGCTGCAGGAAACCTCTGCCAAGGGTCTTGTCTCACAGGGATGAGGACAGTAGCACAAGCGGCTCAATTCCCACTAGAGACACTTTTATCAGCCTTTCTCATTACTGTTAGCACCCAAATGATGTAGAAGAAGAAATGGGATTTTCCACAGAGACAGCAGTTGCTGCTCAGTGATGCTGCTGGGTGCCTGGACCAGTTCTGTTCAAAGGAGCATCCTGAAAGCTGTGCCAGCCCCAGGAGGCCTGGCCACCGTTGGAGAGCCCTGTCCGGTCCACCCCAGCCCGGAGGGTGGAGGGGCTGATGCTCTGCGTCAGCCCACGTGATGCTCTCAGCAAAACAACAGGCAAACGTGACCTGAATGCAGCCAGAACAACCCGCTGTTTGGAAAGACTAGCTCACTGTCAAAGGGGCAGGCATTGCAAAAATGATTCCACATGCCTCCATCCTGAGCTCAGTGCCATTAAAACTGTTTCACGATCTGGATGAGGAATAGAGAGAATACTTATAAGGTTTCTGGAAGATGCTAAACTGGAGAGATTTCAACCACCTTGGAGTATTGGATTAAGCTGCAGTTTCGATAAAAGGGAGAGGCTGTCCAAAATCTTCAAGAGGCACTTCAACCAACGCTCAGGAGAATTGGAAAACATGAGTACAAAACGGAGCCAGGAATACGCACTGCAGAAAAAGCTTGAGGACCACAGAGGGTCACTGTGCACTGTGGGCACAAGCCAACAGCATGACAGGACTAGAAATGATCAGACTGATTTAAAGAGAAACAGGTTTAACCAAGTTTCTAAAGATAATAAAATATAAGCTCTGGATGAAGCTACCTTGGGAGACCAGAGAGTCTTCATGACTGGCAGTTTTTAAGGAAAGGCTGGATGACTACCTGTCAGGCAAGACCTGGGATACCTGACCTTTCCCCTGCACAGGCACAGGCACTCGAAGTCACTCATAGTCCCTCTGATCCTGCCTTTCTGTGAGCTGCAGGTGCCTGTTCATGACTGAATCCCCTCAGGGTAGACTGCAACCATTACAGAGCCCAGGTCCACAAAGAAGCCAACACAGACCAACCAAGCTGTGATGACTGTCCATCTGCTCTTTGCTAGTAACAAAGACAAGGGAGTGCAACTTGGGCGAAGCCCTTTCAGTGAGATTTGAGCTGACATTTGCCACAGGGCAGGGAGGCACAGCAGCCAGCACCCACGGTTCAGATGGCAGTGAGAACATTGCTGTGCCATGTTTCCTTGATGATCAGTTTAATGGTGATGGCTATGGAGTTGCACATGTTCAGCTGTGCTATTCCTAATCCCTTGTCATCAAATGGGCAATATCTGGAGGAGAGCTGTGGGTTCATCCAGAGAACATGTCAACAATTTTGCCTTGTGATTCCTGCATCAGATCTTTTCAAAAATAGCCCGGTCAGGCTTCCTTTCCCCCTCCATGGGACCGTCCAGCATTACCAACATTTGGGAGACACCAATGGAGCACAGGGTGGGTCTTCCAGTGAGGCCACAATGAGTGCTGAGCTTGGCCTGGAAGCCAGCTTCCCTGGAAGGGTCAGGGTATGTAACCAGTGCCTTCTCCCAACGCTGGGGTCAGCCCTGTGCTGCACTGCCTGAGCACGCACCCATCCCACCTCCCAGCCCTCTGCGGTGCCAACCCGTGCTACAGGTAAATAGCCCAGAGCAACAGCAACACTGAATGATTTCTGAAGGGTTTTTTTTTTGTGCTGAATTACCTATGACTGATGTTTTGTGGGATTACATAAGTGAAAACACAGGAACGGATCTCCTGTAGAGGTGTCTGGATTTATAAATAGATTTATTGCTCCTCTTTGAAGTTCAGAACATACAGCCATTCACAGGGTCTCAGGCACAAGAAGCTATCCTGCGCAGGCCAAGAGGCTGTGTTGCACTTAATTATTTGTTAACAGGTTTAAAAGCCGTGTTTCAGATGAGACACTATTTCAAATTAACAGCAAAAGTAATTGTGCCAAGCATTGCTGTTCTCTGACTGCACCTCCTCAAAGAGGCTCGCTGGCTCTCCCAGACTGTACCCAACTCCCAGCACGAGCTTGGTATAGGGAACAGAAATCTAATTCCCCAGCGCTGCTCTCCAGGATTTATGGCAGCTTCTCTTAAAAAAAACACATGTTGCAAGACCCAACTGATGAAAGCTGAAGTCAGCAGTCCAAACCAAAAACGTTTAGCAAATCAGGCTGAGGCTAATAACTACTGTTACAAATTACCCAAGACGATGGAAGATTGTCTTCATATTTGAAGTACTCGATTTTCAAAACTGGCTTATTAGAAAGACCATAAAACCAAAGTTCTCATTCTCCCCTCCGTAGTACTGACATGTAACAACCAGTTGAATGTTCAAATGTCCATCTTTGAGATCAAGCACCTACTTCTATAAGAGATGCTGTCTTAGAGAAAGGCAGAAGACAGGCAGAGGGCTTGACAGACAGAAAAGCTTAGTGTCTGTTCTGCAGTAAATCAGAACAAATGGCAATGTGAACTGTCTCTCTAGACTTAAAATCTATAGACATCAGCGGGCTGTTTGGCCCTATGGATGCAGTCATAGGACAGGAACAAGATATTCTTGTAATTTACCCTTTCCCACTTTTATGCACCCTCCCCAAAAAGCTTTGCTGCACGAAAATGCTTGTTTTGAAAACTGCACAATTTGCAAAGAGGTTGCAATAGAACTCCCCTGAAATACCACCAGACCTTGTGAAGTGTTTCAAGGCTGTAACCAACCACTGTGGAAGAGCTTTGCAGCTTTCTGAAGATGTGCTCACACCTTAGGCACATTGATAGAGCCTTGTTCTACCAAATAAACTATGGATTTCGTCTTACTCCTTGCAGTCCCACCCAAAAAAGAGTCTATGAGACCAATACTGTACAATCCAGGGCCTGGGCTACTGATTTGACATTCCCCAATCTTAAGACTCTTCT